TACTTACTGTATCTCTGTTAGCTAATGTTGATTAGCTGTCATCAAAACAGGATAAATAGTGACCATTTTGAATTGGATTGACTCAAGTCATAGAGCTGCAGATATTCATCCATCCATCCATTCGTCCAACCATCCATTCATCAAACCAACCATCCAACATCCATCCATCCATTGAACCAACCATCCAACCAACCATCCATCATCCAACCATCTAACATCCATCCAACCAACCAACCATCCATCCACCCAACCATCCACCCATCCATCCATCAGGTTCTTATTTCACATATGAAACAGTGAATCTGATTATTCTCCACTTCATCATCTTTACATTTATTACAAGTGTTAATAAATTAAAAACTTTTGTTAACAAAGGAACATAAAATGATCTTTGAACAAATGTGACATAAAACCATTTAAAGCAATCCACTGTAAATAATCATAAAATAAATAAATATTATATTTTGTCATAGAATGCGGAATAATACATTATTTATCTGTAAACATAAAACACCAAGCAGCACCTCGTTCTGAGGCTCGACATGTTGTTCCCCTGAAGCAGGGTTCTGGAAAATGAGGTGTTGCCATTGAAACAGGACTGTTCCTACAATAAAATGTTTCATTTTGTTTAGTGAAYAACTTTAACCAAGTAGCCCACGATGTGTTCAAAGACCGTCAGTAAAAGTTTCTTCAGTGCTGAGTCGAAACCTCTTCATGTTCTCCATCATTGCTTCTTCCAGAAACATCTTTCAGGTTGTTTCTGACCCGGATCGTCTCAGACTGAAACTGGACTGACCTGAAACACAGGACAAGTTTAACCTCCTGAAACTGAAACCAACTTACACCCAAGCCCCTCGGACAGAGCCCAGACCCGCCTCACCTTGTTCTGACAGAAGCCCTGACCCAGGATCAGACCCAACATRGAGTTAAACGCATTGAGCCCACAGAGGACAGCCTGCAGAGCGCTGGTGGCCCCCATTACACTGAACAGAACCACGTTCCACTGGACCACAGAGTGGGGCTCCAGGCAGACCCCCGACCACAGAGTCCGATTGTACAGGTACCCCGAGTGTCTGRAACCACAGAAACACAGMGTGAGCAGCAGGGATTTAAACATCTGGAGCAACTTGCTYGWGGGGTCTCACCTGTCAGGGATGGGCTTCAGAGGGACCCCCCAGGTGGGACCAGAGGACGAGTTGTAGAGACAGAGAGGACCCTGGGATAGACCGGTGGCACTGACCAGAGAACAGCTGAAGGCAGCCAGACACCCCACACAGGAGTACAAAACCTGACAGAACATCTGAAGAAAGATTCACAACATCTGTAGACCTGAACATCTGTAAGACCTGATTTGATTGGATTTGATTTATTGATTTAACAGGAAAAGATTACTAAAAATCAAGCCTGACTCAGCATAATTGCTGTTTTACAGCAGATTC